GAAAAAGTGAAAGGACATCAAAGAAATTTGGGGAAATTCTTCTGAGTGCTCTTGAGCGCTCTTGAGTGCTTGAGCGATTTTGGGTGTTTTTGGGCCCTTTTAAGCGAAGTCTGGCCGGGGCCAAACTTACAGAACAGAGACAACTAGCCTGCAAAACGGACAACCGAGGATGCGATAACAGATGCAACCTTCCACGGCTAACAATAAGAACAAATTTAAAATGATGCTTACGCGTTTTGTTAAGTGTATGTCCTTACACGTTTGTTGATGGCGCGCCGAGCGCTGTAAGCAAGGCACGCCGTTCGCACGGTCAGTTTCGATGGCGCGCCGACCGTTGGAAACGATGCCACGCCCACAAATCTAGGCGCGCCGCTCGAACGGTAAGCCCATGAAGGCGCGCGGGCCGTCGGAAAAAGTCTGAGATGTGTCTTAACAAGGTTACGCCGTCTTGCATTGACTGTTTCCATTTTTCGAACTGTTTTTGTTAAACCTTGTTACTTTCGAAAATTTAGTTGGATGCGGGTATCCGAAAAAGTACAACTTTCGTCTCGAGATGGCAATCTGCTTATTGTATCATATGGCGATCTGAGAAAATCAGTTTGAATTATTTCCTACAAATCATTTAATGCTTAGATTTCTCGAAACGGCTTTTAGGGAGCTGACTATGCCATCTGTAGTTCCTCCTCTTCACTAGATCTTTTGATTAATGTAACTCAAAGGTGTGCTCATTGCTTTTATACGCATGTTTATTACAAAGCCATTACCACATTGCCAAAGTAAACAAAGATTTTTTAGTACTTATTGTTTGATAATGGTGCATGTCGAGAAACTCGGCAGATAATTTCTATATTTTCCCTATGCTCCGGCTTCGATTTTGACTGCCTTTGAAAAGTGAGTGCCCGGCAAGCTCTTTCTTTACGGCTGCAGCTGCGCCAAGAATCAAGTAAAAAGAAAGGGGGGGGGAGGGGGCGCAGCTGGCGACCTCCTCCTCGTTCTTGACTTAAGCATCATTTGATTATCATTGCTTTATCTCATTTGGTGGCGCCTTATACAGGGGTGTCCTAAGAAAATGTTAACACTGTTTGATCGCTAATAACTCCCTTGCTTCCAATTCTTTCGCCGAGCATTAAGCACCATTTTGTAGAGCGAGGATAAACTTAGATTTACAGTATAGAGCGAATCACCAATCACTCTTCATTACTGTAGAATTACGGTAGAAATTTTGACAAGGATTTTAGGCCATCAAAGGCCATTTTCTGCTTCGAAACAGAGCAAACAAGCCAAAATCTCTTGTACTATGGTAATGAAAGCCGCTAATTTCAAATATGAAGTTTACATTTTACTATGATACTTTTTTCAAAGTTATGGTAGGTAAAGTGTAATAACTGACTTTCCAGCATGTGTCAATAATGTGATTACATCGTCAAAAAAGCTGAAAAAACTCGTAAAAAGTTGTGTAGTAAAATCAGCGTGCGCGAAAACCTTAGTACACGATTTTTCAGAATTAAAAATTTTTGTCAGAGGGCATATTTCAGACGTTTCCACATGCTGGAATTTCCCACCGTAATCCTACCGTAATGAAGAGAGAACGGTAATTCGGTTCATACTGTAAATCTAAGTTGAACCTCGCTCTACAGAATGGTGCCTCAAGCTCGGAGAAAGACATGAAGTCAAGGGAGTTATTAACGATCAAACAGTGCTTACATTTTTTTGGGACACCCTGTATTTACTTACAATCTTAGTGCTTTACTTGCTTTCAGTTCAGGTAGACCAAAACATATCAAGTATTATATCCCTAACGTTTTGCCATAATCAGAATCCCTATTAAGCTGGTATTGTATTTTGCGTGCAATATCGTTTATTTGAAATTTATAGTTGTTAATAAAGGTTTAATTACAGAAGTTTAAGGAATCTCCTTGTGCACAACTCCAACACTCTCAAAACCCGCGTGGCAGTTGATATTTGGTGACATTGTCGAGTGGTATTTGACGATTATAGTACTGACTATATATTAGATTGTTACATAAGTCTTGTTACACTTTATAGTACTGACTATTTATTAGGTTGTTACATAACTTGTTACACTTTACTTCTTATGGCGATAACTCATGCACCTCATATTCTTGGCCAGGCTCCAGGATGCCATTCGATAGAGCGAAGCAAGCTCTACAAGACAGTATGCAAATGTTCGCATCAACTTCGACCCACTATAAGTTTGCACCCAAAATCTGAGTCGTACTGAAGGCTCAAAAAACGCGAAAAATTCATATCTTCGCTAGAGAAAATTCTACAAATCTCCAGTTTGCTCATAAAAATTGCACACTATATCAGACACTCATATGTACCGTTGCTGTATTTCTTTCTTTTAGAAGGCGAGAAAATGAAAATTTTCTTGTTTTCACTATAACAAAGCTATGCTGTTTCTATTTATGTAGCCGTATACTACAAGCCCTTAGAAGTATAACTGTAAATTCAGCTCAGAAGCAATAGTTTTCGAAAAACACCGAATTTAGCTTTTCTCACTTGGTTGCTCACTGTTAAATTCGGTATTTTTCGAAGACTAGGGCTTCTGGAAAGCTGAAAATTTACGGCTATACTTCTAAGTGCTTGTAGTATACAGCTACATATCTAGAAACACCATAGCTTCGTTTTTGTAAAAACAAGAAAATTCTTGTTTTCTCAATTTCTAGATGAGGAAGAAATACAGCAACGGTACATGAGTGTCTGATACAGTGTGCAATTTTTGTGAGCAAGTTGGAGATTCGTGGAATTTTTTTTAGCGAAGATATGAATTTTTCACGTTTTTTGAGCTTTTGGTACGACTCAAATTTTGGATGCAAACTTATAGTGGGTCGAAGTTGATGCGAACATTTGCATACTGTCTTGTAGAGCTTGCTTCGCTCTATCGAATGGCATCCTGGAGCCTGGCCAAGAATATGAGGTGCATGACTTATCGCCGTAAGAATTTGAAGTGTAACAAGACTTATGTAACAACCTAATATTTCGTCCCTACTCATTAGAGTGCATCTTGCGTCAACAATGTCGTAATGTGCAGCAGTTTTCTTTGGTTTACGTTTGTCTTTTTGCATTCGTTGTAGCATTATGGTAGTTGTATCCTGGTAATGTTCACTTTGTAAGTTCAATCCTACATTCTCGTTTCTTACTCTTGTGCCGAGAACAGGGTATACAATTGTGTTCATAGATTCCTAAAGGGCATTATCTCACTCAGGTTTTTTTTTCGACGTTTCAATGTTGTCTCTGTTGATCCTTTCTAGTTTTATTTGGATGACGTTGTATGTTCTTTAGTGACTGTTCAAAATATTGCAAAAATCATCAAAGATAAGAAACTTTGCTTTGCTTGATTGCTTAAATGGTTCGACCAGTATTCTTGCTTCGTATTATGTCTTTCATTGTGATTTTCTGGCCCTTTTCCTTGAGGACAGCGTCCAGGCGAATCTGGACATAGTTGGGGCCCCAAAATTACGACCCACCTGAGAGCCTCATATGTCCAGATTTGCCTGGACGCTGCCTTTAAGGAAAAGGGCCAAAAAATCACATAATGAAAGACATAATACGAAGCAAGGATACTGGATTCGAATCATTTTAGCAATCAAGCAAAACATTTTGTCCGTTTCTTCCTGTCTTTCTCTCTATGATGTCATAATCCAAAATTTTGTGCATGCAGTATAATGAACTGAAGGAGCATTTTTTGACAAGTTTTGATGGTATAGACCGCCTCTTTGACCCTCATTTTTGTGACAGACGAAAAGCAAGCATGAGTTGTTAAACAGACAGAGAGTCCACTATTCATAGTTGTTATAGACTACCTCAGAGCATGCAAATACTGTCCATTTAGTACACGAAACGGAATGTGGATCCTGAATTTGCTCATCGCGAGTACGCAACAAAGTAACCAGATTTGTCTTCAAACACAAGCAAAAGCAAAAACTACGGGCCTATATAAGGCTCTTCAACCCTAAGCATTAAGAAACGGAGTCATACTACAAAAAAGGTTGCTATCAGAAAAGGGTCGTACGAGAAAGTTCACGCAAAAAGTTCACAAGAAAGGTCAGTTATTTACAATCTCTAGCTTTCCATCGTTAACTTGTCGTCGTTGGCTCAACCAGCTCGCTGACATCCTCACCAGCTGTTCCATGAATCTGACAAGCTGCCATCGATCAAGATCTTCACTGGTTAGCCTATGTAGTTTAAATGCTGAATTGCACGCTCGACACCAAACGCCCTGCGCGCCGGTCAAATTTGGTTGGGTCATGGGGCGCGCTTTCGCAGCCATTTATAACTATAGGAACGAGTCATTTTATGAACGCCCCTGTGCAGCTTTTGGACTTCAAAGGCGAAAGGGACATAACAGTGGAATCAACAAGAGATCACACTTTTTCAAAGCGACTACCTGCAAGCGGAAGCCGAATTACAACGAGCAGGCTTAAACCACGTAAACGGTATGAACCAGTGTATTCCAAAACTAGGTAGGTATGCTTACCCATTGTCGATCCAGAACACGCAATTGACTGATTGATTTAAGCGAATGAAAAATATCACTTATATGTACAAGAGAAAGATATAGGTAGCTCTGCACAAATTTCGATTAAAATATAGCCCGTCTTAATGATACTGTTACAACTCCCACAGCTCTGATCTTCGCTACCGCCATGCTCGAGGCTGGCGCCGAGCCAAACCTCCTTTCTCCATATCCCAGCAAAAAGTAAAGCTGGAAAGTGTTCAGACGATTTGCGAACGCGGCACAACGTCTAAGGCTGCGTTCATACTGATCTGGAAGTTCGGGAAAAGTTCCAGCACAGCGCCTAGTTGGGGCGTTTGCTGAAAGTGTTCCTAAACTTCGGGATCAATATGGATGCAGCCCAAGCGAGGCGGCCGCGACGGCGGACTCGTGAGCAGTAATGCTTTCAAATAGCGTATACATGAAGGTCGTCACTAGTTAAAACACTAAGTATGTTATTGACAAATACATAGTTACATCTGGCTATAAGTCCGCTATACAAAATTCATGTAAAAACGTTGTAAACATTCAAGAATAAGAAAATCACATAGTCAACAATATCACCAATGGAGCTCACACAGGCCATATCAAAAAAGAGCAAGACACAACAAAATCAGAAAAGCCATCGACTTCCTGATAAGATTTGAAGATTGTTGACACCCATCCATTGCAACCGCTCCTGGAAATGATGCCGTATAGTTACTCATAAATGACTTCTATTCTGCAAGGCCTCTGCTTAATTATAGCCACGATCATGCAAAGGGAAAATACATAGAACCGAACTTTTACTCCACTGCATATCTCTCCTCTAATGCATATTTCCACTATGAAGCTACATTTGGTTCAGTGCCGCTCAGACTCATACGGAAATCGCTTTCGTGATGGGAACAACCGTAGCAACACAAAATAGTTGCACCCAGCAACTTACCGTCCGTTTTGACCTCTTGCCATAGCTAGCAAATGGCTGAGGCTCTACAATGAATCTTCCTCCTGGGAGGAGGTGGTTGTAAGCGCTGCGAAAAAAGAATCGTAAACTATCGTCAACGAAATTGAGATGAATCCATTTTGTGATACTCAAGGCAAGAATAACATCGAATTCTTCTTGAACCTAGAGCAATTCAATAAATTTTCAAGACCCTGACGTTCCATAAAGTCTACGTACAGTCTCTAATAATCATTTTCAAGAATGTAGTTTTCCTTGCGAGACAGACGTCATCTATCTCGTGGAGGAAGATAGACTGTGATTTGCTATAGGACCAAAGTTTGTGCAGTAGGATGCAAGAAACTTTCCAATGACTATCTTCCAATGAACTGAAATACGACTAAAGAGATGCGGAATATAGAAAAAAGGGAATTCAGTAATGCCGATTACCTCTATATCCTGATCACAGTAATGGCGTATACTCTTACGCACCATGCCGATCAAGTGCTCACCAATGTCTATCCCAAGGATACACGTGGACCAAAATCCTTTGCGATCGAGAGTGTTAGAAAGCCCACACTGCATCCTATAAATACTGATAAAAGCACCGATTGCGCACGGCATACTAGGAATCAACGTCAAGTGCTGAAAAAAGTGGACCCGTGCTCGTACATGTGTCAATGAAACTGGCAGTGCGCATAAAGGTCATGATGGATGAGGTAACAATGGCAATATTGCGAACGACACTTAACCGAAATCTTTTTACGATAAATATGGAGAATTTGTAGACCATGAGATTTTTCATAGTTATTCAAAACTACAAACTTTACAAATGATAGTTTGGGTCAACGTTAATAGCTTCTATCGAACTGATAGTGCTCTATAGCAGTGGCGTACCCAGGATTCCGGCTCGGTGGGGCGGTGGGGGGGGGGGGGGCGGAAAAAGTTTTTCTCGGATGAAGGTGCGTGGCGTTAGCCACGCACTCCGCAAAATTTTTAGGGGGGCCTCTCAAAATTTTTGCGGCTACGCCCCCGAAAAAAATTGTTTTCTAAGGCTAATTTGAATTTTTAAAAAATTCTAAAGATTATTTTGATGGTTTACAAAAATAAACAAGACACTTGCACATTTTTATAACCCATGTAAGTAACTTGCAAAAATTTTGCGACCCGTTCTCGGGGGGGGGGAGCCCTCCCCCCCCCTCCCCTCGGTACGCCACTGCTCTATAAGTCCAGCTTCCCAGAAGTCTGATTACCTTATTCAGAATATCGCTCACTGCAACGACATCCGGTGCGCGAAAAGCACTAGCAACGGTGTATGGCCTTGAAAAAACATTAAGTAGGTGGTATTAGTAGCAACAGTGGTAAATAACTTTGCGACAAATTCACGAACTAATGAGGAGCTGTTGTATGTGACAAAAACCAAATAAGAAGTTCCAAAACGCTGATGATTAAGCATGTGAGTAACTCACCATTTTCTGATTATCATTTCTTTTCCACCTTTTACTCCAGCAGTAATCTTAGATTCTTGGTCTCGCTCACAGTTGATGATTGTGCCAGGAATTTAGTGGTTCAGTTGCGCAACTAAAGACACCAATGAAACAGAAAGGAATGGACTATGGAGTTTTCTTAAATGGCCTGCAAATTCAACAACAAATGCAATAACCACAGCTGAGGGAAAACTACTAGTGTGTAAAAGGATTAACGACGATTCAGAGTGACAACTTAAACGTTGACAAATGGTCCATCTCACCCAAACCAAAAACATTGAGAAATGAATCAGAAATCTTTGCGAATTGAGTTTTCCTTTTTTGAAAACAACAAGAGGTTATAACAATGCACGTTTACAAAAAACTTCTAAATACTCCGCAATGTTCGAAATCGCATTGTGCAGCGCAGTCGCCGCGATATCGCTAGGTTTTTTGAAATTGCGGCGATTATTGCTGTAGAACTATGTCATGGCAAAAACCGGTCAGCGACTGGTCGCGCTGGAAAAGTATCACAACCGAATGCAAGTTGATCGGCATGCAATGATGTTGTAACAGTTGTCTTGTCGCGATTCAATCGCGACGATCAAATTGCGTGAATTCTGCCCGGGGCCTTACACGATAAGCCAACGTTTCAGCGGTCCGTTCGCCTTCATCAGGGCTTCCTGAAAGATCAAAACTTTGAGAATTGCCGCTCAAACGCCCTGCTTGGCAATAGATTTAGTTTAGCTATGTGATGGAGTGGCAGAACAGATGTTGAAAGCCTGACTTCATCAGCCTTCCCAGATCGTGATATAAAGAGCGAACAACCATTACTGCGTGCAGCTTGTCGAGACGCAGACTAATTAGGTGGTCCGACAGTCCCCACGCCAACTGGGCAATGCCAAGCATCTTCAGATGAGCGGTTACCCTTTCCCTTTCCTTATCTTATAAATTTATAATAAAGATTTTAGTCATAAGTGTTCATAAATGTTATCTTCATAACAAAAAAGACAATCAGGGTGAAAGATTCAAGTCAGGAGAGCGCACCTTCTGGACTTGACATGGAGGTCCCGGGTTGTTTTCTTTTTTATGACTCATAGTGTTCCTGAATCAATATTCCTTGAGCATTTTTCTGCAACAAAAAAATTTTTTGAAATTTGATTAGCACAGGTTTTGGCCAAATCTTTTGCAAACTTTTACCGCCGGCACCAGCGCTCATCTCCTACGTTCCTACAAGTGGCGTACGGGGGGAGGGGGGGAGCGCCCCCTTCCCCCCCCCCCGAGTACGAGTCGCAAAATTTTTGAAAGATACTTACATGGGTTATAAAATTGTGCAAAGGACTTGTCTGCACTTCTAAATAATTAAAATGATTTCGAAATTTTTTTTAAATTCATTTTAGCCTTATAACGAATTTTTTTCGGGGCGTGGCATAAGCCACGCCCCTTTTTCTGACATTTCGGGGTTTTGAGCCCGCAAAAATTTTAGGGAGCACAAAAAAAAAATTTTCGGAGTGCGTGGCTTACGCCACGCACCCTCATCGGAAATTTTTTTTGTCGCCCCCCCCCTAGACGAAATCCCGGGTACGCCAGTGGTTCCTACGTAGTTTTTTCCTCTTATTTGTTTTCCTCACTTAGTCTTTTGAGTCAGGCGATGGGTTGAGTTTTGTATCAACTTGCTAATAGCAAACACATCTTATATATAAAGCTGAATGTCTGTTTGTCTGTCTGTCTGTCTGTCTATGTGTACGTATGTTCCGAATAGAAAATTCCATTGCTGAACCGATCCGGACCAAACTTTGCACACATACACTTCGGTGCCGGGTGGGTGTTATATTTTATCGATTTTTTGCAAGGTTGCTGGGAGCTGGGAGTTGGCACAGGGGGTAATCGAGCATGCTGATAACTAAAACAGTTGTAGTGAATTGTCATGTGGACTCGGGGAGAAGTTCTACAGGGATAGGGATGAAAGCATTATCACATTGTTTTGACAGGGCTGGGCGGAGCCAGCCCTGTCAAAACAGTGTGATAATGCTAGGTAGCATAGGTGCCATAAGGTGAGAATGACTTTTCCAGGGTTAAGGGGCCACAGTGGTCGCAGCCCCTCCAGGGTGAAGGTTTCATTTGCTCGAATTGTAAAATGTCGACCAGAGAGAAGGGGGTAAGGGGAGGGGAGTGATGGTGCTTTCTCACCATTCTACCTAATCAACGTTTTATCATTTTCAACTCTCTACCATCATTTGCTCTCTTTTTGGTGAAGGTTGAAATAGGATTGGAAATTCTACAAAAGCTGTCTGTTTTCGAAAATACCATAGAGAGAAGATGTGTATGCAAGAACATCTGTTTCGGGAATGAGGTAGACAATTTCTGAGCATTCACAAATTTTTGAAAGGAAAAATTTATAACTGCTGTAGATGAACAGCAACGTCGGCAAGGAAACTGTTTCCAGAACTATCTTTTCTTCCGCATTCAGGGTTTATATAGTTTGTCCGGGAGTTTGTCTGGAGTCATTTCAAAAATGTGCCTGGCGAAGCTCGAGGGTTGTGATTTCCAAGTGTTTGCGAACTTTTAGATTAAAAAAATCCATAACTTCTATGTATGAAGATCTTATACGAGCAGATGGTTACCATTGGAACCATCTCGCCCTCCGCTTTCAGAAAATATATAGTAAGTCCAACAAGGGAAGTTCACTTAGTCGAAGTGGCGATTCGGAAGGAGATCTATATCAGTGGATAAAGCTTAAAAAGCTGATCTCAAATATACCTTCTATATCTGCGATGCGTCGTTCTGAAAAAGTTATGAGCTTTTCTAAAGCCAAATTTTCGTGCATTTTGAGTCGCAAAATTATGATAATCGTTACACAAAAGTGTGCAAGTTTAAGCAAACCACCTAATAAGCATTGTAGGTCGAAGTCGAGTCCATCCGAATGCTATCGAATGTTTTTCGACCATGTTGTTCATCCACAGGTCGTCATTTCAATCCTAAATCACTTCCATTATGTATACAAAAAAGCCCCATAACCTCCATCTAGAAATAGCGTCCCGTAGGAAACTTTTTGGAAACTACCAATGGATAGAACGTAAAACGATGTTCTCAAACATATTTTTAATAACTGGGATGCGTTCTTCTAAATGGATGTTATGGGCTTTTTTGTATTAGGTTGTCCGGAAATTAATGCAGGTTTTAAAATCCAACCGCAATAAGTCATACATTTTTCATCCCTGAATAGCTTTCAAGGTACCATTCGACAGAGCAAAGCTCTAATCCACCACGAGTTTCGAGCCAAAACTAAAAAGATTCAATTACCCAAAAAAATTGAGAAAAATCGTAACTCAGTTCATAAATTCCTACAAAAATTCTAACTTGCTCACGTAAACACTATCCACATAAGACGTATATGTACGCAGTTGCCGTATTTTTTTCTCAGTTAGAAACCAGGAAAACGAAGATTTTCATACTTCTGCCAAAGTTATGCTGTGCCGTTCCCACTTAAGCTGTTGTATACTACAAACCTGTAGAAGTACAAACGTAAATTTCCAGCTCTCTACATGCTTTAGTTCTCGAGAAATATCGAATACAGTTTTCCTAGTCATGTGGTTCAAGCTAAAATTCAAATTTCTCGAGAAGTAAAGCATGTAGAGAGCTAGAAATTTACGTTTGTACTTCTACGGGTTTGTAGTATACAACAATTTGAGTGGGAACGGCACAGCGTAACTTTGGCAGAAGTATGAAAATCTTCGTTTTCTTGGTTTCTAACTGAGAAAAAAATACGGCAACTGCGTACATATACGTCTTATGTGGATAGTGTTTACGTGAGCAAGTTAGAATTTTTGTAGGATTTTTATGAACTGAGTTACGATTTTTCTCAATTTTTTGGGTAGTTGAATCTTTTTAGTTTTTGGCTCGAAACTCGTGGTGGATTAGAGCTGTTGCCAAAATAAGATTGCCATCTTGTAGAGCTTCCTTTGCTCTGTCGAATGGTACCTTGAAAGCTATTCAGGGATGAAAAATGTATGACTTATTGCGGTTGGAATTCAAAACCTGCATTAATTTCCGGACAACCTAATATATACAGGGTGTCCCAAAAAAAACGTGCCTACTGTTTGATTGTAAATAACTCTCTTGTAATGAAGTGCTTCGAGAGGCTTTAGGTACCGTATTGTAGAGCGAGGCTGAACTTAGATTTGCAGTATGGAGCGAATCATCGATCGCTCTTCATAACTGTAGGGCTGCGGTAAGCACTTCCAGCATATGGAACCATTGTGAAATATACCACCAAACAAAATTTTTTTCAAAAAATCTAAAAAATCGTGTACTAGGGTTTTCGCGCATGCTGATTCCACTGAACAACTTTTTGTGAGTGTTTTCAGCTTTTTTGAGGGTGTAATTACCTTTCTGACAAATGCCGGGAATTGATTTACTACGATTTACCGTGTATAACTTAGGAAAGAAGCATTATAGTAAACTAAGAATTTCAAATTCGAAACCAGCGGCTCCCATTACCGTAGTGTAAGAGTTTCCGGCTTGTTTGGTCTTGTTCCGAGGCAAAATATAGCCTCCAATGACCTAAAATCCTTGTCGAAGTTCGCACCGTAATCGTAATCCTACAGTAATAAAGGGAGACGATAATTCGCTCCCATACTGTAAATCTAAGTTTAAGCTCGCTCTACAAAAAGGTACCTAAAGCTTCTCGAAACACTTCATTACAAGAGAGTTATTGACAATCAAACAGTAGGCACATTTTTTTGGGACACCCTGTATAATGGAAGTGCGATCTAGGAAGGAAATGACGGCCTGTGAATAAACAACATGTCGAAAAACAATCGAAAACGTTCGGATGAACTCGAATTAGACCTACAATGCTTTCTAGGTGGGTTGCTTAAGCTTGCACACTTTTGTGTAGCGATTATCATGATTTTGAGACTCAAAATGCACGAAAATTTGACTTTAGAAAAGCTCATAACTTATTTCAGAACAACGCATCGCAGGTATAAAAGGTATATCTGTAATCAGCTTTTCAAGCTCTATCCACTGATATAGATCTCCTTCCGAATCGCCACTTCGACTAAGTGAACTTCCCTTGTAAGATCCGTTCAAAAAAGTGCCTG